ATTAGCCTTTCAATTCTGATCCAAATATACTAGGTTTTTTAGGTTTATTCCTCATAGCTTAGCCTCTAGATATCCAATTTTGAAGAAGTAATATGGATTTTTTACTTGAATTTTACATGAACCTTTATATGTTGCTGGTGGTTCACCATTTTCGATAAAAATGCAATTATTTCATCCTTTTTTTTCTTATTTTCTCCCGGACTATAAACTACACTCCTGGACATAAAAAACCGGACAAACAAAATTCTGTTAAATTTCAATCCTAAATATTTTTTTCAATTTTGCATCGAAATTGATCATTTTTTGTCAAAAGGTAGGCGCGTTTATCTTGATCATTATTTAATATTGTGTTTGTGAAAAGTTCGAATGGATTTGATGTTATACAGGGTGGAACCATAAGTTGCATTTGGTCCCAAACTTCTGAACACTCTGTGGAATAATTCAACGACACAATCATGCGTATTTGCAGGACATTCTTAAGCGTTATCATTTCTTACCATGTCTTTTTTTAATTCATATCGATATCTTCAATCTCAAAGGAAGCACAAGTTTTTTAGAGAAGCAATGCAATTTATACCAATAACAAAAATTAAAAACATTACAGATAACTTTCACAAATAAACAAACACTAATATTGGGTATTACCTCCACGTGTTTTAGTCACTGCTGCCATGCGACGTGTTAAGCTCTCAATACAATTGGCAATAGCCCTTTGCGGAATGTTCTCCCACTCCTCTAGAAGAGCTCTTCGAAGATCTGGAATGGTTTCCGGTTGTCAATTGCGAATTAGCCTCTCTAACATGTCCCACACATGCTCAATCGGGTTCAGATCAGGGCTACCTGGAGGCCAGTCCAATCGTTGAATCCCTGCTTCATCGAGATAATCACTGACAAATCTTGCGACATTAGGCCTGGCATTGTCGTGCATCAAAGAAAAATTTTCACCAACAAATGGAGCAAAAGGAATAACGTGGACCGCTAAATATTCCTCAATATAACGGTTTGCAGTTAAGGCGCCATTTTCGATAAAAACCAGGGCAGTACGGGCATGTACGGCCAGCTCACACCATAAAACTACCGCCTCCAAAAGGTGTTCTTGGAGAAATGCAACAGTCGGAAAGTCGTTCTCCCCGTCTTCGCCATACACGCTCTCGTCCATCGGGTGAACGCAAACAGAAGCGCGATTCATCAGTGAATAACATACATCCCCACTCTTCGTCATTCCAGTCTTTCTATGGACACGGGCAAAATTTAACCGTTGAGTACGATGGGCTACTTGTAAAGCTGGACAAGCAGCCGGTCATCTTGACATTCATCCTTGTTCATGTAATCTACGGCGGACGGTTCGTCCAGACACTCTTTTGCCACGTACATTTTCAAGTTGATGACTAATAACAGCAGATGTTACTCCTCGGTCTCGTAAAGCAGTAAGAGTAATAAAATGATCATCTCGCTGGTTTGTGACGCGGGGTCACCCAGACCCTGGACGTCGTGTGTACTCACCAGTCTGACGAAAGCGGCTAATTGCATCTTGTACAGTGCTTCTGGCTCTGCCCAAGACATTAGCTATGAGCGTATATCACGGCCATCATCATTCAATGCAACAGCTCGTGCAACATCTTCGGACCGCATATTGAAAAAAAAATCAACCTCTGAATAAGGATACACTGACACTTATGATAAAGAAACAAATGAAAATAAACACTTTTAAAGTCTATTTTTTCCCAAGATGGATTTCAACATTGAAAACTTTGGAAGGTAAACAATACCGCTTGTCCCTGATTCGTCACAAAATGCCGTGTCCCTGCAGGTTGGAATCAGTTTTTCATGTTTTGTCGTGCAAATGGCATCCTGCTACCAATAAGCGGCATTATTTATGTTTCAAAGTTATCAATGGTAAAATCCATCTTGGGGAAAAATACACTTTAGAAGTGTTTATTTTCGTTTGCTTTTTTATCCTAAGAGTCAATGTATCCTTATTCAGAGGTTGAATTTTTTTTCAATATGCGGTCTGAAGATGTTGCAAGTACTGTTGCATTGAATGCCTGGTAAGTACACACGACTTCCAGGATCTAGGAGACCCTGCGTCACTAACCAGCGAGATGATCATTTTATTACTCTAACTGCTTTATGGGACCGAGGAGTAACATCTGCTGTTATTAGTCATCAACTTGAAAATGTACGTGGCAAAAGAGTGTCTGGACGAACCGTCCGCCGTAGATTACATGAACAAGGATGAATGTCAAGATGACCGGCTGCTTGTCCAGCTTTACAAGTAGCCCATCGTACTCAACGGTTAAATTTTACATAGAGACTGGAATGACGAAGAGTGGGGATGTGTGTTATTCACTGAAGAATCGCGCTTCTGTTTGCGTTCACCCAATGGACGAGAGCGTGTAGGGCGAAGACGGGGAGAACGACTTTCCGACTATTGCATTTCTCCAAGAACGCCTTTTGGAGGAGGTAGTTTCATGGTGTGAGCTGGATGCACCTTACGCCCGTACTGCCCTGGTTTTTATCGAAAATAGCGCCTTAACTGCTAATCGTTATATTGAGGAATGTTTAGCGGTCCACGTTATTCTTTTTGCTCCATTTCTTGGTGAACATTTTTCTTTGATGCACGACAATGCCAGGCCTAATGTCGCAAGAGTTGTCAGTGATTATCTCGATGAAGCAGGGATTCAACGATTGGACTGGCCTCCACGTAGCCCTGATCTGAACCCGATTGAGCATATGTGGGACATGTTAGGGAGGCTAATTTGCAATTGAAAACCGGAAACCATTCCAGATCTTTGAAGAGCTCTTCTAGAGAAGAGGGAGAAAATTCCGCAAAGGGCTATTGCCAATTGTATTATTGAGAGCTTAACACGTCGCATGGCAGCAGTTACTAGACCACGTGGAGGTAATACCCAATATTAGTGTTTGTTTATTTGTGAAAGTTATCTGTAATGTTTTTAATTTTTGTTATTGGTAGAAATTGCATTGCTTCTCTAAAAACTTGTGCTTCCTTGGAGATTGAAGATATTGATATGAATTAAAAAAAAGACATGTTGAGAAATGATAACGCTTAAGAATGTCCTGCAAATACGCATGATTGTGTCGGTGAATTATTCCACAGAGTGTTCAGAAGTTTGGGACCAAATGCAAATTATGGTTTCACCCTGTATAATACCAAATCCATTCGAACTTTTTGCAAAAATAATATTAAATAATGATCAAGATAAACGCGCCTACCATTTGACCAAAAATTATCAATTTCAATGGAAAATTGAAAAAATTAATTAGGATTGAAATTTAACAAAATTTTGTTTGTCCGGTTTTTTATGTCCAGGAGTGTATAAACTCCATGCTACTACTCCTCTACCTTTACCTGCATTCTCAAATGAGGTTTAATATGTTCTCAAAATAAGAAGTAAGATCATTCCAAACATCTACTTTCTTGCGGATATCGAATCCTAAGATATTCTCAAAAAACTGCTTATTCTTGTTTTAAGTTGTAACTTTTTTGTGTGTAACTTTTAGAAAAAAATAAATAAATGTTTTTTAGGAAAATTGTCTTTTTCTATTTTGTTTCCCGTACCTGCACCTACATATTTATATGTATATACAGGGTGACTGGTAAGTGGACGTATTCCTTTGAGGAGGTGAAAGCAGAGCCCATTTGCTACCGATTAAACATCATTTACCTCTATACCATTCTCAACGGTTTTTGAGATATTTTTCATTTATATATTTAAGAAATTCACTTTTTTGGGAGGTAAATATTTAAAATTAACGAAATAATAAGGAACATACCTTATTTAGGTAAATGTTAACACCAATATTTGATAACATTTCTATTGTAACACTTGTTATTAAAAACAAATCGAGTAATTTTTTCTTCATATTGGTTACTCTTACAAATAAAACTTATTTATTTAATAATAAAACAAAAGACTAATTCTGAAATAATGTGCCTTATTCTGAAGACAATTATATCGAGAACTTTTATTAATAATTTGTACGTTTGATGTACTATGAAATTTTCGAAATTTTTAAGCATAAAGTAACCATTAGTTTGTAACTTGACAAGGAAAGTTAAGTTTAAACCGAAATAATTTAATAGTTAATATTATTATTTCAATAATTTTCAATGCTAATATTTGTGTAAGTGTGTCAGCTTATAATTTGAAAAGCGACATTTAAAATTGCTTTTATTATTTTCCTTAATATTAAATATTTACCGGGCAAAGGAGCGAATTTCTTGGAAATTAAAAAAGAATAAATATCTCAAAAACTGTTGAGAATGGTATAGAGGTAAATGATGTTTAAACGGTAGCAAATGGGCTCTACTTTCACCTCCTCCAAGGAATACGTCTACTTACCAGTCACCCTGTATATCTCATTAAAACTTTTAGTAACAATTACTAGCCCGCCCCCCCCCCCCCCCCAACCCGGTGAAAATTATCTATAACTCGCTAGGAGGTGTGTTGCTAGCTCTGTAAGTTGGATGCTAGGTGGGTTCAATAGGGTGCTAAAAAATTGGACCTGTTGGAAAACCGGGGGGGCTCGCGTTACATTAGCCCCCCCCCCCCGCGGTGAAAATATTCTATAACTCGGTAGGGGGTGTGGTGCTAGCTCTGCAAGTTGGGTGCTAGGTGGGTGCAATAGGGTGCTAAAAAATTAGACCTGTTGGAAAACCGGGGGGGGGGGGCTCGCGTTACATTAGCCCCCCCCCCCCCCCGGTGAAAATGTTCTATAACTCGATAGGGGGTGTGGTGCTAGCTCTGTAAGTTGGGTGCTAGGTGGGTGCAATAGGGTGCTAAAAAATTGGACCTGTTGGAAAACCGGGGGGGGGCTCGCGTTACATTAGCCCCCCCCGGTGAAAATGTTCTATAACTCGCTAGGGGGTGTGGTGCTAGCTCTGTAAGTTGGGTGCTAGGTGGTGCTAGGTGGGTGCAATAGGGTGCTAAAATATTGAGCCTATTGGGAAACCGGGGGGGGGCCAGTGTAACGGACCCCTCTGCTCTATATGTTCTATGTTAACGTTAAAGCGCCCGAAAGTAACAAACAAACCAAATTTAAACTGAATTTTTCTCTTTTATACTAAACAGTAAACAATAACTCATAACCTCACTTCCATAATTCAAATGGATGGATTTAATAAGAATAATTAAACTAGTGGTTACAGAATGCCACAAAATTGGATTTAACGTTGTTGCAACTGTTTGTGACCAAGGGACAAACAATCAATCTGCGATTTGAAAACTGTGTTATGTTATATGTTACGCCACTGCTTTGCTGCTACTGTCGCACCACTGACCTGCAATGAAGCTACCACGCTTATTCAGCATTCCGCTTACTTAGCATAGTTATTTTGTTTCCATATCATACTTTATTTTCTAGCTCTTTCCTCTGAACAAGATTATCAATCTGGACTTTTTACCTTCAATTTTAATGTCAATCGGAACTTTTTACCTTCAGTTTTAATGTCAATCGAGGCCTACATAATAGACCTGTCTCGCATGAATAGAAAAAGAGAGCTTAATTGTAATAAATACAAGTTAGAAAGTAATAAAAGATGACATGCGCGCGCAACTCGTAGGTGCAGTGTAGCCAGATTGTATTGTTGCAGAACAAATGTAGACAATACAAATCGAACATTATAACATTAAAGAAGAGATATAGTGTCAAGTGTTTTACAACGCCTTAAATCAGACAAAAGAATATCTTAAAAAGTGTATGTTAACATAGTTTCCACTTTCATTTTGATAAATGTTTCATCTGGCAACATCGCACAATGAAATTGCAAAGGAATATGTCAAGTATAATCTAACATAAATTTAATCGACACTGCGGTGAGTTCAAGTAATATGTCAAGTATTAGCTTGCCCTTTGTCGAATTACATGTTACAAAGAAAGAAAGAACGATTCATTCTGAACTGGTCTCTGAATAAGAATATGACGCAAGCCTACTGTTACGAACTTGCTTCTCATTGGACACTCACCTGCAGCCTACAAGCGACGCGCGCAGTCCAGGTAATAGGATATCGGTCTATTATTGTTAATCGGGTTTTAGTACTAATAGGTTACGTTTTGATGTGTAATAAGTTGTTCTATCTACAAGTGTTTGGTTATGACGTTTTTATATAACCATTTTTCTAGTATTTGAGTTATGTCATGAGACTCATAACACAACTAGTGGTGTTGGAGACTAGGTTATGAATTCATAACACAACTAGTGATGTTAAGGACTAGGTTATGAATCCATAACACAACTATTTTTCGTGATTTGACAAATGTCAAAGTTAAACCTGTAGAGGTAAAATGAAGGTAGACAACTACTAATAAACAAAAATAATTGGAAAAGCATTCTTATTTTTTCGCTTTGTAGATAAAACGCTGTACAACACACGTGCGTTTGAACATGACTACAAAACTCGTGTGATTAAAACGACTCGGTCTACGACCTCGTCGTTCTAATCTTTCACACTCGTTATTGTAATCATGTTCATAAACGCACTTGTAATGTAAATAACTAAAATAAACGTTACAACGGAATAAATTAATGCCAATAGACTTGTTTCTTCTCCCTTAATGATAGAACTTAACAGTACCTACTTGGGCGAACAGCTACATTATCTCAATTACAAATAAAACAAATTCACAATATTTATGTACATATACACTATATTATCACAGTAAAAATCTACACATAAAATTTTGTTTCGGTGTGGTACATACTGATATGGGAATGGCGGAATGGGGGGTATTTAGGGCACAAAAAAAATAGACATATAACAAGTAATAATTGAACTAACTAAAATTAATTGAACTCCAAAATACATACAATAAGTTAAGGCAATATAGAATAAATTCATCATCTATCAGATATTATTTATAATTATTAGGCTAAATACATATAACTATAATTGGGTACCTACGAATAGTTTTTTCTTGATACAAATTACTTATTCTATAAATTAGATTAGGTAAGTAGATCCTTAATGAACCTAATATAATATTTTTTTTATATTTATAGAATATGCAAGCAAGAACTAATAAATATGTACAAGGAATGCAATAATTAATCCTTGCTCCTTTGAATGACATTTTATTTTAGGAACAAAAAAATAGAAGTTTTATATCATGTACAGAATACCTAGGGAATAATTTTTTTTGGAATTTCTAAAGCTATTATAATGTAAACTATCCTACAATTGTACCCGTTCTAACCTCATGTGAAACATATAAAAATGTAAAAATAAAAATATAATAATTTCATGAATTCTATTAAACATTAATAATTTCTGCCTCATTGTTGCCATAATTTCTTTTGTTTACCGAATCTAACACATATTTTTATACAAATGGGGAATATTATCTATTGTTAAAAAATGTACCTTATGTACATAAGTACATTATTTGTCTGGGAAAACTTTTATAGTAGGTACCTGTATTCGTTTCCAAATTACGGACTCGGTTCATTTGTCGCCTCGTCTGTAAACATCTCATCCGACATTTATATTGTAAAAGTTTATTTTCCTTTATAATAACGTAAATAGAAATGTATTAAAATAATTTAGATCAATATTCGAATTTTTAAGAAAGGGTGCCTACGTAGGTACCTATTATTTCTGGAATAATTACAAACTTACCGAATACTCCTGATGAGAGTTTATCTTTATTGAGCATACTGAATTCCCCATTTTCAGTAGGTAGCAAATATTTTTTTACATAAGAGCATACACAATAATTAAGCATTGCACCGTTCACGGCCATATTCTTTTTTAATAATTACACTTTCCAAATTTATTTACAGACATTTTGTAGAGATGTCACGGATTTTAAGCTGAGGTTTTGGTAGTCTGTTTATGTGCTAGGTGTGTAAAATCCGATTAATTTTTATTTGGAATAAGTATGTACTTTTGAAAGGAAACTGGATATCCATTATACAGATTTTTTTCTATCCGTAACATCTCTTATTTTTACAATACATATTATGGAATAAAATACTCTCTTTAGGAATAAATCTATGGTTACATCAATACTCATACAAGGTGTTAGGCAGTAGTAGATTATGAAAAAAAGGTAACACGCATTTTGATATGAATATTCCTTTTCTAAATTAAAAAAAAAACTATCTGCATATATTGCCTGCAAATCAAAGACCAAAATAATTAAGCCTTCCTTATTCCAAAACTTAACAAATTTTTAACCGAACCAGCGGCAAATTATTTCAACATATTATTCTTTTGGCATTTCTCAGGACATTTCCTTATGAGCTCACCTCCATACCATTACCACACTTCACATTTTTTAATGGGATTCATTTTCGAACCAGGTTTGCAATGGAACTCGTCACTGAACTCTCTCAGGTTACTCACAGCTCCCATCACTCGGAAAGGTGAGGGCGAGTGAGAATCCTTTTCGATTTGTAGGTTTGTCGCTTCTTTTGTGGTTGTTGAACACCAAACCTACAAGAACAAGATAAGAATTGTATATGTATAAGAGCTTGCACACAAATTTAATTTGCAAAATAATACTCCATGGAGCCTGTCACAATCAATTAATACACACTATGTTCACAGTGGCATTTCCTATAAGAGGCACCCAATGTTTATATAACTCAAAAAACAAATGATTGACTATCAAAAATATTATGGGATGATGGGTTTAGCAACAATAAAATATAAAGTAGTTCAACATCTGACGTCAATGTAGATTCATATTTCAATACTCTCCCTCATTAACTTTCTTTAGTAGTGGTTTTGTCATAATATCGGCAATTTTTTTTTAGTAGTTAGGCATTGCACCACGGCATCATGTTCCATAATTCTTCCTCGGATGTAGGTAGTGATAATGAAGGTCGATTTTTTTGCTTCGTTGATCAATATACAATTTGTTCCAATATAAATTGCAGCTTGGTTATCACACAACAACAGTGGTTTAGAATTATTGTTTATCAGATCAAAAATCAACTGCTTCATGTAATGGTCAATGACAGCACCATATATTCAGTAGTGGACACTGCGACACTTTGCTGCCTTTTTGAAGACCATGTGACTGCTGCGTTACCTAAAACCCAATATATCCACTACTGGATGTCAGGTCTTGTTTCCATGGCAAGAAATAGAAGATTTCCAATCTTGACTACTATAGCTCTTTGTCTGCTCTTTGTTGCTGTTCCTCTCTTGCCTTTAGAGCTTTGGTACCAGGATTTATTGGAACTAAGATCGTCTTACAGTTCGTCATGTCATTTTTGCAAAATTTTTTCTAAGTAGGTATCTTTCTTGATTTAAGGACACAGATGAAAAATTTCATAAAATTTGCAGCGAAAATAAAAAAATTGGTTTATCTAGGTAAGTGACCTGGAAATTCTTGGATAAAATATCTTCCACTTATTGAACATCATTTTCAATTTTGCCTAGCAAACATAAATCTTCCACATAAACTGCAACTATCTGTCTTTCATCTTATGACAGAAACATACATGGATCAGCTATGGATTGTTTCAGGTTTATTTCTTTGAAAACACTGACCAATTTATGATTCCATAATCTGTTAGACTGTTTTAGCCGTATATACTTTTCTTCAAATAAAAAACTCATCCTAGCTCAACGTCAACACCTTCTGGGATTTTATGTAAATTTCAATATCTAAATCACCATTGAGAAATACTCTTTGTAACGAAGTTACTATTTTTTTTCGCTACCCGCCACTGACATACCGCATCCATTAGAGATACCATCGTCGCTACTGAATAACCGCCCTGCTTCTACGCCAGAACTACCACCACGCCACCCGACGTCGTTTCATGACGATACCACCAAAGTAGGGTACTCTCTGTTCTACCGTCGAACAGGGACCAGCGTGTGACTGGCGTATCACACAGATTTCTTACTTTAAAAATTTTTCGATTACGCGACAGAGAATTACGGCTAGAACCCCGCCAAAACCCAAGCAACCCTCAACTAAGAGGACGATGACCGAAGAGGACGACGATACCTTGTCCGTCGCGTCATTCGCAAGCGAGGGATCGACAATTTTTTCCCTAAAGGAAAAAACTAAAGACCTAAAGGCCAAGCTAGGGATCTTTGCCGGCAAATGCAGTGAGTGCCATAGACTCGCAAGGGAAATCCGGGAAATGACTGCCACATTAAACCCGCTACCGTTCAACCTTATTGCGATAAACAGTGCAATTTCTCACTTGCAAGACGTTCATAAACTTGAACAAGGCAAAAAACGTTTTAGGCCGGCGACGAGGCCACCGAAATCAGAAGCAACAACATCAAATTCCAATGCGACAGCAACAATAAAAAACCCCAAAGAAACAGAAAAACAACAAACAGAGCCACCTGCAAACGACCTACCGAATTCCGATGATGGTTTTAAGGTAGGTACCGCTTAAAACTTTGGGGTTTAAGAAAATTGTCAAGATGCGACAATTAGATTTCGGGGCAACCCGCAACCCTACCCTTGGCCAACAGGTTTGGAAGCCTACCCTCGGACATGGAATTTAATGAGACGGCGAGCGCCATGTCCGAGGCGTCTTCAAGAAGTGGGACGATTGGCAGCACTGGGTAAGCCAAAAACTAAAACTCCTCAACCCAAAGTTAACAAACCTCCGCCGATAGTGGTTAAGGGGAAGTTCCAAAGCCAAAAGTCACTAAATGAGCTCTTCGCAAAGCTGAGCATAACGAAGTACAACATTCGTTACGCCAGAAACTCCACAATCATATATTGCGAGCTTATCCAGGACTGGCAGACTCTGCTTCACAACTTCGAAGCCGAAGACATGGAGCACCACACGTACGCTGAGAAGACGAACAAAGGGCATGCTTTTGTTCACCGGGGACTTGAGGGCGATGTCACCATCCAGGAGCTGATTGAGGATTTAAAAAGCCAATACCAAATCACGGCCAAAAATATATTCAGGATGAGTGAACTTGTGTGGAAGGAATGCGAGCATAACCCTCCTGATTGGCCCGAGATTAAATATACATATACGCGGGTCGTCGCGTTAGGGTAAACGCAATTTTCGCAATGCACCACGTCGGGGACCCGTCGCGTCGTATAGTATAGGTTTTCGTCTTTCCCTCTGCTTCTTCATACGTTACCAAGGTTCACTCACTTGTCGCACTTTACTTGGTCATCCTGGATGCCAAATACACCCTCAAGATCCTCAATCAGCAAGTTAAGATGATATCCAATGTCCGAGTCTACTGGGAGAACAGGAAATCGGAAAAGCCAGTCATGCCATGCCGGAGATGCCAAGGTCTGGGACACGCTGCAACTTATTGCAAAAGGGCCGTAAAATGCAGCAAATGTGCAGAAACGCACGAAATTACGGCCTGCAAAAGTGATTACATCAAGTGTGCCAATTGCGGGAGAGAACACCGCAGTATCGACGAGAACTGCCCGGTCTACATTTATAAGATCAGGAAGTTAGAACCTCCACTGCGTTTGCTGGGAGCCTGGTACCTCGGCTGATGCCCGAAAGGTACGACTCGGATTTCCCGGCGCGTCGACCGAAACCCACCCCTAGGACTCAGGCCCAACCCCCCAGAACAAATTTTAATATGCCAGGAGCGGTAAGTGTCAGCCAGGCTGATTTCCTGAAACTGGCCACTACGATGAGTGAGCTTAACTCACTCGTCAACATCACTGAATTACTGAAGGCATTAAACACTTACATCTCATGCATTGCTTAAGCAATGCAATGGTGACAAGGCTCAAATCCTGCAAGTCACCGGTGACAAGGCTCAAATCCTGCAAGTCACCACGCAATTCTTCTCAACAGAAATTAAAGTTTCGACTTTTGAATGTTCTTAATACTAAGTTGGAACTGTAATGGTGTCAAATCCAAATTGGGGACTTATATCAGACCACAAACCATTACAGTCTCAAAATAGTCTTTTTAAACGAGACTAAACTGTGACCAAACGACAAACTCAAACACAAACATTACAGCACAGAACGAGCTGATAGGGTCCAAAATAGGGGAGGGGGTGTTGCCTGCCTGATACACAAGTCGGTGCGATACAGACGCATTGTCACTTTGGTGACAAATGTAGAACATGTCACCATAAAGTTGGACAATAACCTCTGGATTTCCGGGGGCTATGCCCCACCTAACGCCATAAGGTCAGCCAACGACGTTGGAGTCTTCTTCCCCAGGAACATTAGAGCGTTACTGGTGGGAGACCTCAACGCCAAACATACAAGTTGGCTGAACAATAGCAATAATTGGGTAGGCAACACCCTCTTCAGTTTCCTAATGAATAACAGGAATGTGCAAATTCACCACCCCAACAACCCCACCCACTTTCCCGGCTCCGGCCAAACCCCTTCCGTAATCGACTTTGCACTTTACAAAGGGCTTACAAACATCGAGGTGAAAACTAGGGACCTTCTCGGCTCAGACCACCTACCGATCTTCCTGTACTGGAAAAACCCTCCAATACTAGAAGGATCCAAGGTATTCTCGTACAGGAATTTCAATTGGCCAAGGTACAAACAAAAACTAAACGACATAACAGTCATCCCTGATCCCATCTCTAGCATTCCCGAACTTGAGAGGCAAGTCGACATACTTTCAAAAAATATTCAAACCGTTAGGGACCAACTGGCCCCTAAAATCACCCCCAAACATAGGACAGACACACTACCAGAATCCATTGTAGCATACTCATCAAAGAACGCAATAGGGCGAAAAGAGCATGTCAGAGGCGCCCCAACCCCCTAGACCGGGAGATTCTAAAGCTAATGAACAGCGAAATAGAGAGAGACATACGAAATCACAGAAATAAATCCTGGATGAAGTATGTCTCTACTCTGGAAGCAAAGGATAATTCCCTGTGGAAGCTGGCGAAGAATCTTAGGCGACCAGGATCCAGGGTTGTTCTTGGGAAATTTTCGTGTTTGCCTGCAGCGACACTCAAATAGTGCCAAATACTCCAAATAGTGCCACTTAATAAAAAATGCTGGGAGAGGATTTTGAGACTTTTTACCCATTTCTTTTTATTACATGATTAAAAGGAGAAAGATATAATATATTTCATATATTAAGGCTGGGTTCGGTAATTGTATCTGCGAGCGAAAAGAGCAAATTTTGACGAATGTCATGTGATCACTTATCTTTTTTCACGTGTCAAATCACGTGGCATTTGTGAAATTTTGCTCATTTTGCTCGCAGATGCAATTACGGAAACCAGCCTAAATTCACTATAATGACAATTGACAGTCACGATGACACTGTCACTAGTCCCACTCACATCGACAGATCCGATCCAATGACCTAAGCCCGGTATTCATAGACGGGTGCTTGGCTCAAGCTCCGATTTTTGACAGTTGTGAGCATCGTTCCGTGTTGTTTGGAATAGCAAATATGGCGTCAAGTCGTACTTGAGCCAAGACGCAACCTTGAGCATCGACTATGAAATACGGGCCTATAATAACAGATCCATTACAATTCTCACAGGTCGACTGGGACTGAGGTCGCTAGCAAAGAAATAAATTGAACAAATAATACAATAGAATAGAAATAAACAAAAAATCCTGCTCCAGCTCTAATCTTCCTCATCTTAAAAATTTGAAAAAGGATAATATCTAATAAATCTTTGAATAATAAATTAATGTGAATCGTGCCAAATTTTTCAAAGTGGTGCCACCGTGCATTTTGCGGGCGAAAAGTGCCACTTTTGGCACAATTGTGCCCTTTGAACAACACTGCCAGGATCGCAGCAAGCGAACCTAGTGGTCGGAGGCGCCAGCTACTACAGGGACCAAGACAAAGCCGAAATATTCGCTGACCATTTTGCATCGGTCTTCGAAGAGTCTCCTGATCTAAACGCAGAACAGCGCAACATATCGGGGGTGACGGACGCCTTTGCCATGCAAAAATATCCCATCCGACCCAGAGTGCTACAACGGATTCTAACAACCCCAGCCGAACTGCGTAGCCTAATTAAAAAGCTACCCAACAGAAAGGCCCCCGGACCAGACACTATAAATAACACGGTAATTAAAAATTTGCCGAGGAAAGCAATAATAGATTTGCTTCAAATTTGCAACGGGATCATGTTGCTGCAATATTTTCCAACACCCCGAAAACACGCAAATATTATTGTTTTCCTCAAATCAGGCAAAGACATAACAAAACCACAATCGTCCAGACCGATATCCCTACTCATCTCACTGGGCAAAGTTGCAGAACGCCTCATACTCAGCAGAATCGCAGGCGCCATCAACACCCTTCAGTGCCTACCCCCGGAACACTTTGGCTTCAGGCAGAAACACTCCACGACGCTAGCAGTAGCGAAGGTAACTCAAGATGCTATTGCATCATTCAACAACAGAGAGAGCACCTTCCTACTGCTCCTCGACATCGAGAAGGCCTTCAATAAGGTATGGCACAAGGGCCTTATCTATAAGATGTTGACAACACACAACCTACCCCTCCACTATGTATCCCTTATAACATCCTACCTAAGTAATAGATCCTTCGCCATTAGAATAAACAGCTACCTCTCCCAAACTAAACCCCGTCCCACAAGGCACCGTCCTCTCCCCAACCTTCTTCAACCTCTACATAGCGGACTTCCCCAAAAACCCCAACACGAGCATAATGATGTACGCCGATGATACGGCAGTGTACACCAGCGCCTTTTTCGCAGAAGATGCGAAAAGGGCGCTGGAAAGCCACATGGAACAGATCACGCCGTATCTGGAGAAGTGGAAAATAACCCTAAACGCCACCAAAACGGAGCTGCTCACACTAACTAGGAAACTGACGAACATCATTATGAATCCTCCCCTATCAATCGGCGGCACGGAAATCGACCCAAAAACATCGGCAAAATACCTGGGGATAGTCCTGGACAAAACGCTCCGGGGCTACCCTCAGGTAGCACACTCTATCAAAAAAGGCCATGCCGCCGAAAGACTCCTTACCCCTATAATGAAGCCAAACTCCTTCCTCAGTCCCAAAAACCGTGTTTTCATCTACGAACAAATCATCAGGCCAACCCTGCTGTATGGGGCACCCGCCTGGATTTACATCTACAACACCAAAGACAAAAACTTAAACTTCAACGGTACCAAAACAGGGTGCTCAAGACCGCCCTTTCACTGCCCTGGGATACAAGGACAGTGGAAGTACACAGACTTGCGGAATTAGACACCATCCTGGAATATTTAAACAGAGTCTCGTTGAAATTTTTCCGGAGACAGCGCAAGGACCTGACATAACCAAAAATCTTGCCTCCCTCTAATTCAACCCTGAAAATCTCGCAACACATCGGCCCATACACCACCGACTACCACCTGCCTTGATCAGGAAAGCAGAGAACGCAGAAGTTTAGCGCTTCACGCTAAATTTAACGGAAGGCAGCGCCAAAACTATCACCAAAGCTTAGTATACGGCCACATAGAACACGTTCAAGGCGGCAGTGGCGCACCCAAGGGGGGGTTTTGGGGGTTAAAACCCCCCCGAAATTTAGCACTGGTACAAAGAATTTTCCGGTAAAAATTTTTTTTTTGCGATTTTGGTTAATAGGTACCTACAAACTTTTCATTTTACATACATGGCACCCCTAAAAGGTTTTGCTTCCTACAGCGAGTTGATTTAGGTGAGTAAACAGCGAAGTAAACACATAACTTATACAATCACTTGGTTGGTTGGTTAATTAAGATGCAGAATAAACAGGCCGGGTTAGGTGGCCCCAACACTGTAGCTGTCAGCTTATTGTATTGTCCTGTTCGTCTGTTTAGTCAATGAAAAGTTTCGTGACCTTGATTAGGTTTAGGAACCTCTTCACCGAGTTACTTTTGGTGAGTTTAGAGATAGGGTCTTCTGCTGGCCCTATCTGTCTGTATCTCCACTAGCGTAAAGCCTCACATTCAAAGATTAAGTAGGTGGCGGTTTCATCCTCCTCGTTACAAAGTCTGCATATGGGTTCTTCTTGGAGGATGCCCATTGTGGGAAGGTGTTTTCTCAGGCTACAGTGTCTAGTTATTAGATTCCTGTTTAGTTTGTAGGATTTCTTCAGTAAGTTTAGGTGATGGTTGTTGTACCATTAGCTTACTGTGTCTCAGCTTCGGAAGAGTTTGCCAGTAGGTTTTGTGTTGTCTATACACCCATTGGTTTATTTTTGCTCTTACCGATGATTTTGTGGTACAATCGCCGGTTCAGGACCAGTATAACTGGTTGCCGATTCTTGTCTTGCCAGAGCATCTGCTTTTTCATTTCCTTCAATTCCTTTATGCCCTGGCACCCATTTAAGGGTTACCTTGTTGGCCATACTTAGGTTTTTGAGGTTTTCTAAGCATTCCCAGACAAGTTCGGATTTTATTTCAAAGCTATTGAGTGCTTTGATCGATGCTTGACCATCTGAACAGATAAGAATTTTTTTACCAGTGTATCCCTTCCTCAGGCTTTCTCTCAGACAGGAGTCGATGGCATATATTTCTACTTAGAATACAGTAGTGTATTCTCCCAGAGGTTGACATATACTTGCCATTGGTGTGCTTCTCTGGGCACCGGTAATACAAAGACACGCAAGTTTCTGGATTTTGGCTAGCTTCAGGTTTGCTTGTCTTTGGTTTACTTTAGGCCACCATACAAGTGCACCATATGTTATCATTGGTCTTACAACCGTAGTGTATATCCATTGTAGAACTGACGGTTTTAGTCCCCATGACCTTTTATTGGTTCCATGTCAGCTTTATATCTAGAATGATGCCTAGAAATTTAGCTTCCTTGCCAAACTTCAAGGTTTTTTGGAATAGACTGATGGCGATTAAGTCCTCCAGATTTCTTTTTCTCGTGAAAGGAATGAGTTTTGTTTTGGAGAGGTCGACGCGAAGTTGCTCCCTCGTGCTGCACGAGGGAGCAACTTCGCGTCGTTTTCCAAGAATAAAAATTGTATTTTCCATGGTTCCTGAATTTTTCTTTAATAAATTGTTGTTTTACTTGCTACTGTTCTTAAAACCAGATTTCTTTAGCGTGCAATAACCTTTTATAATTCGTAGTTTCAAGAGAAAAACATAGATACCACATTTGGCTCTCCAGTCAATTTTCCAAAAATTCTAAATCTTACCTGAGCAAAAGCAACAAAAAACAATTGTTTATGATTTAAAGGTATCCCAGGAAGAGGCTTTGGTTCAGGTTGCTCATTCATAAGCTCCAAATAAGCATGGTAAGCTGCCTTCAAGCCTCCATTGTCAGCGATATTTTCACCCAAAGTTTGATTTCCATTGACTTTAGCTCCCTCAATTTCATATTGGTCTGTAAAAATCTATTGATTACATCTTTCTACTGAAAAACTCAACTTACTATATTGATCAACAACACACTTCGTCCTCTGCTTAAACCGATCCACAGTCTTATTGTTCCACCAATGATTCAAATTTCCACTTTTGTCGTATTGTCTGCCCTGATCGTCAAAACCATGGGTCAGTTCGTGTCCCATCACGACACCCATAGCGCCATAATTCAAAGAATCGGGAAACGAAGAGTCGTAGAATGGACTTTGTAGAATACCAGCTGGAAATACCATTTGGTTTTTGGTCGGGGTGTAGTAGGCGTTTACTGTCGATGGAACCATACCTACAAAATCGAAAATACTTATTTGTCTGATGAATTGCTGCGTAATAGTTATGACAATAATAATTGCCACTTTCAATTCAATTAGAATTGATTGATGAATCTACCATTAGGAATGAACCAGTTGCTTCAAGGTTAAAATGATGAAAAAGACGTGAAATTTTACGCAGAGTATCCCAATGAGCATACCTATAAATTAACGAAATAAAAAATGGTCTAGATTCTAGAAAAAACTGAAAGGAGAAAACGAATATACTCGAATTATCGTGTGAGGTCGGTAATTGGAACTTAAGCACTTTTCATTTGAAAGTTTCTCACTTTAAATGCTCTAAAACTTGATAAAATTTAGAAAAACAACTGTCCACAACTTCAAATGTGAATGTGAAAATGTCAAAACCAAGATTTCTAGTTTTCAAGAAAAGGATAAATAACAACTGCAAATAATCATGAAGTCGTCCTCAAAATCAACTTACTCCAAGTAGTTTTATTAACTGGTTCATTAATCTTCTCCAAATTCTTCCTCAAATTATAAAAATTAATGTTCACATTGTTCTCGAAGTAAGCATCAGGCCTCAAAGTTAAATTTTCAAATTTTTCGTCTAAATGGTCAACATCTTTAATAAATTCTGGATAGCCTGAAATTGAAAAAAAATTATTACCCATAAAAACTTTGACGCACATTTCCTCTTTCTCTCACCAATCATGTCCGATATTGCATCGGCTTTCTCAATAGCCAATTTTCTAGTTTGCTCGTCCATCCATTTTAAATTATTGAAATTCTTCTTGAAAGCATTCCTTACGTTATTGATCATAATTTCAGATTGTTCTTTTGATTTGTGATCGAACACTTCTCTAACGAAAATTGCACCAAGAGCAAAACCTAAAATAATTTATCAATTAATTATCCTTGCATCGTTTGCGATGGATATCCAATATTTTTATTAGGACTGAATAAATATAGTTGAACAAAAGAAGTTTTTAGGGTAGTAGATCTGTTAACGCAACATTATTTATTAATTTGGTTTCTTCTCATTCTTATTAAAGAATTATTTAAATGTCAATTTCGCGTAAAACACACAGGAGTGTATTTTCTACGACCCTGCGCCGAACGAGGCAGACAGCTGTTGAAGATTTGGATTTACGTACACTAGATCAATGGTACTTGATATGCACGTTGTATTTATACCGGTTCCGTGTTTTACGCTCAAAAAGTCTATGTCTTGTGCCGTTAAAAAGGGACCTTGAGTGCCTTAAGTCGATGGTGATACGTTGGTGGTTGTGGAGAACCGTTTTCCAGGGGATCCCCGTATATACGCACAGCTTATAAGAAAACCCAGGTGAGTGGTAATAACTTTTGTGTGTTTCGACAACCCTATGGTATCAATTTCATTTCTATTTCGATTATCCAGTCGCAGTCCAGTTTACTAAATTTCAAATACTATTGCGTAAACAAGATCAATGAAGATATCGAAGTATCCAACATTTTTAAATGTGTCCTAGAACACCCTTTGAATGCGTAAAAGAGATTGTTTGTTATCAAAACGAATAAACTTACCTAACACGTTATTTGTATCTTGAATACAATACCTCCATTGTGGTTCATCGGAACCGTCAGATCCTATGAGGGCCGTTCTCACTCCTTTATAAGCATCCCTAAAGGGTTTAGACAAACACACGGCAAATACTTTAACTGTTTGCCATACTAAATAATTATTGAGAATACTATAAAAGAAATATGTTATTTTTTCAATAAGTTTGCTATTCCATTGTTTTTACATTTTTCCTTCAGTAGTATTTTCGTATTCTCTAATCAACTTGGTTAAATTTCCCATATATTCAGGGGCATAGACAACAATTTGTTGTTTCGCACTCACTTTCTTCTGGGCGACTTTCATTGCATTTTCGAAAAACGCTCTCCAGTCTATCTACAAAAATATTATTGCCAAAACTAAAAGATTTTGAAGTTGATACCCTAAATATTTAAACTTTTGTAAAAAAGGAATTTAAAGAAAATGCTTACAAAGTGGGATTTTTCTTGTAATTCAGCTAAAGACATTAGATGGTATAATGATTCTTCATCTCTTCTCTGATCACTTGGCGTAGTGATGTTGGCTAATCTCGTTTCAAAGTCTATAACAGCTTGCATTTGCATTCTTGTTGAGTTTTCTTCACCTCCAAGAAGAACTCCTATCTAAAAAGCAAATATTTATTTTTGGAAGCATTAATTTTTAACGATTTATTCTTACTTTGGTCATGTAAGTCAAATAAGCCTTGAGAACCTTCAAATGATCAGCTGTTTTATTCAAATAATTATCTCTAGTAGGCAAAGCTAAACCGCTTTGGTCCAATTGCAAAATGTGTCTAGTAGAATTTCTATCGTCTTCTCCAACGCCGTAGGAAAATAGCGCACTTATACTATATTTGTTTTGTATTATTTGGAGGGTGTTTTGTAGAGTCCAATCTAGAAAATAGGATATATTTTTTGATAATGGAATATGCATGTTCAAATCAAAAATATGTCTCACATCTAGCTTCAAACAATAGTTCAATTATTTTGAAGGGTTCTGAATTTGATTCGAATTGGAACAAAAGCAAAGCCTGCGTTCCAATAAGAGCTAGTTTCAATTTTATTAGCGACCTCTAGGAATACTCGTGTCTTCAACTGTTTTGAAGGGTTTCACCTACATCAGCCTTAGAATGGCCCCAATACCAAGATGTTTAATTGATTGGGATTTTTTTATGAAAGTTTTCTATGTGTGTTATAATAATTCTTGTCTTTTTCTCCTTATGCATATAGTGAATAAAAAGATGGTTGCATTCGATCAAGCGTCAGTTGACAATTTATTTGAATCCAAGGCACATTCAAAACGTACAGGAAGAACTTACGACACCTATAAAAAAGTGGGAACCGGTCCCGCCAGGATAGTAGAAATCAGTCCAATAGTCAGGTACCAACTGGTTCAGACAACTGGCTATATACGATATTTTATAAAAAATATCTACTAAAAAAACGTACCTAATAAAGTTTAAAGTACTTCTGTTTAGGGAACAATTATTGAAAACTTCAAGTAAATATAGGTTTAAAAAGATAAGAAACTATATGGTGTGCTATTATTTGTGATGTTTGAATTCAAGCTGGACTGAAAGTTCCAAAAAATTGCACAATGAAACTAATTCAAAAACTTAGAAGTACCCTATCGCAAATTAAATTGACTGAAAATACAATCTTAAGAAGTTTCATCAAGTAATTAGAACTTGTACTCCTTTTAGGATAATATAAAAATAAAGACCTGATATAATGTGCGTGGAAAACAGAAGTATGAATAAGTTAATGTAGAAAGAAATAGAGCAATATATCAGAAGCGAAACTCTGAATAGCAGACCGCTTTATCCATGACAATTCGCCTACCAAGCAGGCAAATCCACAAGTGCGCCCCATTGCCTAGTAATAAACATAGAAAAAGCACTTCGCTCTTGCAGCTTTCATAGATATGTAGGGCGCCTCTAATAACACCTCACACCGCTCTATCAAAAAAGCTCTTGAGGATAGGGGGGTAGAAGCTCCCATTATAGGATGGACAGAAGCCTTGCCAAATCGCCTCTCCTGTGAGTCCTGTGGACACTAGAGTTAGATAGCATCCTTACCAGACTAAGCAACGTCGGAATAATTACCGTAGCGCCACGCAGATGATCTGCCGGTAATAATCAGAGGCAAGCATGAACGCATAATAACAGGCCGAATGCAATGGGCCTTAAATATAATTAAAAACTGGAGCGAGGAAGAAGGACTTTACATAAATACTAACAAAACAACCTTAGTTCCGTTCACGAAGAGAAGGAAGCTGTATCCGCGAGCCACCACTCTGAACGGCACTCAATTCTCTCTCGGATGAAGTTATGTATTTAGGTGTCACCCTGGACCGCAAACTTACTTGGAACAACCATCTGAACAAAACAATTAGGGTTGCCAACCGTCCTGCATTTCAGTGGATGTCCACCATTTGGGGTGCATTGTCCAATGTCCTGTAACAACCTATTGCAGGACGCCTATTGTACTTAATTTTTAACTTACTGGAGAGCTCTGTCAAATTAGGCCGGCTGTAAACCTGGTTCTGGTTTATAAGGAAAATCATACATTACTTGAAAATGGAATTTATTATTTTTGACTAATACTGAGTTGAAAAATTTCTGGATCATTTTGCAACTTGTATTTTCTATTGTGTATTGAACACATCCAAGCAGAACTGCAAATAAAGATTAATTATTCTTATACTTGCAAAGAATTTCATGATTTTGTCAGAGGTAACAGGTCTGTTCGACTCTGTTCTAACAGTTTGCAAACTGTCAGTGAGCATCGCACATACATGTTTTCGATGTCGTCGTTCCAATATAAATTGGTAACTTAGCTGAGCGATTGTTCCTGACAGGTTGCCACCTGTCAAAGACTCCTGTGAGAACAGCCCTAACAAGAAGTTAATGGTAGCTGCAAAAAAAGAAAATAATTTTAGAGGCTGTATCTATAGGTCTGTTCGCACAGTAATCATAAACCAATTAGAGCGAATTTCATTGGTTGAAAACAGTCAGAAGTAGTTTAAACCCAAGAACCAATGAAATTCACTCTGACTGGTTTGTGATTTCTGTGCGAACAGACTTTTGTAAGTACCTTATTTACTTCACTTTTTATATTCTTCAAATGATTTGTTAATCTGCATAATTTTGGAATAAAATTTTAAATTATTAGTTCCTATTTACCCAAAGAATTCTGGTTGGACAGTTTTTTTTCAGTGTATCAGTATGTTTTTTTTTTGTTGAATTGTTTATTCAAGTTTGTGAATGGTATTATTCTCTGCAATAGAAAAAATGTCCAGAATTTATACCTTATGTCCTGATATTTTATTACCCTTGTCCAGAAAAATGTAAAAACAAAGTTGGCAACCCTAAAAACAATATCACAAGCTACGGTATGGCGGCAAAAGACCGAGTAAATTACTGCACTTACGGTCTACGTAAATTACAGAGGCTCATCTGTCTAGAAATAACGGGGGCTATGTCAACCTGCCCCAGCGCAGCCTTGAAAGCACTGCTGAACATGCCTCCCCTGTCCCCTTGACTTTCACTTATATGTGAAAGAAGAGAAGAACATTGAAGAATAGATACCTATAGGCTTTTCTAGACAAAAATATTCAAACCTGGTGATCTGAATGGCCACTTACGCATCCTCCAATCTAAAGAGCTCGAGTGCCAAAGTAAACCAACCGATGATATGATAACATCACTGGATTTTGACATTCCATATGGCATATAAAGTGATTGCAAAAGAATCGCCTATCACGCAAAGCTACCGCAAGCGGACAACGCATGGTTGTAGTAAACAAATGGTTTGAAGCTAACGGAAGGAGATGAAGGAATCGGTCTTGGAATAACTAGACCAAACTTTAAACTCTCCTTATAGTCAGTTTTAAATTAGTAATCCGTATGCAACTTTGTGAAGCAATATAGTGCTATACATCAAAATTTTAGGAAAAACATGTAGATTACGTATATCGTTGGGGCGTGACCTGTAGGGGTGGCAGAAGGGAAAAAATTACCCCTCAACCGTCCACCCCTTCGTAAAAAAAAATATTTTAGCTAAAACAAGATAGTAGAATATATTGTTGAAAAGAAAAACATATTATGATTTTATGTGTTCCATCTAAATTCAAAAAATAATAAATAACATCCTATTTTGGTATTTATATATACAGGGTGTTCAAGATAAGGATGCCTATCATGGGGATCTCATAAACGGTATCAGATACGGCAATGGTTCAATGGGAAAAAAGTTGCGCAATTTAATGCTCAATAAAATGGTACTTTGACATATGGAAAATTCTAAACATTTTCCGAGATATCCGGAAAAACCGAAATTTTGCAAAATCTATTTTATTTTTTCTTGAGCTTATTTAAGGAGATATTTCAAAATAAACGTCACTTCATTGTTATTACTTCTCCTACTTTACAAGATGATATTATCAATTTTGAAATTTGACATTTCGTCTTTGGACCACCATCATCAACTTAATTTTTCTGAATGCGGACCCTTATTTTCCATTTTAGATTTTATAAGTTTCTGATACCCCAAAACCAATGACGTATTGCACTTATTCACATTTATATTATTGGCGCTTTCTTACATAAGAACTTAATGTGTTAGAGAGAGAATTTTTGTAGGAACTTACTAAAAAGTAAAAAAAACGAAAATATTTTTTTTGAATAAATGCGATACGTCATGGGTTTTGGGATATCAGAAGCTATTAAAATCTGAAATAAAAAATTCTTGGTCGTATTTAAAACAATAAAGTTGATGATGTTAGCCCAAAGACAAAATGTCAAATCTCAAAATTGATAATGTCATCTTGTAGAGTGGTAAAAGTGGTAACATGAACTGAAATAAAGTGACATTTATTTTGAAATCTCTCCTCAAATAAGCTCAGGAAAAAATAAAGTCAATTTACCAAAATTTCGGTTTTTTCCGGATATCTCGGAAAATGTTCGGAATTTTTCAAATGCCAAAGTACCATTTTATTAAGTGTTAAATTCCGCAACTTTTGTCTCATTCAACCATTGTCGTATCTACTACCGTTTACAAGATCCCCATTGGAGACATCCTTACTGAAAAAAGTAAAAAAAAAATAAAATTATTCGTCATCAAATTTGCTATATCGAGCATAGTCAGAATCAGTGCCATAGGTTGTTTTTCCATCTGCTTTAATATTTGAACAACATTCTGGAGCTTCACATTTACACATTACAGTAAAATGGACCACTGTGTGAGTTGCAATGTTGAGTGCATTTTCAAACGAAGGCCTCCTGAGAATGAATTATTTGGAGCTAGTTGCGATGTGTGTAAGCAAATGTACTGCAAACATTGTTCTGATCTATCACCGACCGAATGCGATAGTTTAGTTCTTACTAAAAAGACCTTACTATTTGTCTGTACAGGGTGCACAGATTTACTGAGAGAATGTAATGCTGAGCTGGAATACCTGAAAAAGGCTTACAATGACTTACGTAACAAAACCATGGAAAAAGATAATACCATTGAAGACCTTCAAGGAAAATATGAGGTTTTGAACGAAGATCACAGAATACTCAAAAGTGATATAGAAGACAGAGACAACTTTATTGCTAGACTGAAAAGAGGATCAAGAAGTTTTGAAGATGAGGCGTGTGATAGGGAAGAACAGTTGAAGAAAAATATAGAATCTCATGTGAAATTGATAGAGAAATTGAATCAAGAGATAAAACAACTGAAAGAAGAACAGAACGTGAAGCAAACAGAAATCAGTGACACAGAAGTTAAATACGAAATACAAAGACAAAATTTAGAAGAACTGAAAAGCAAAAACCACAAAATGGCTACGAGTATAACGAATCTGCAATCTGAAATAGCAAAACTTGTTTCTGAATCAAGAAGTGGCAAAATGGAAATCGCTGAATTGAATGAAGCACTACAAAGCTATAAAAATGAGCATAAAGCTATAAAAGAAGAAAACCTCTTGCTATTAGAAAAGATGAAAGCACAGAGTACGACCTGTAACCTTCTAGAAGATATGATGGATAGCGCAGATCAAACTGAAAAAGATCGAACTATAAATAATAAAGAAGAAATCATAGCTAAAATGAAAGGGGAGGTAAAAGAACTCAAAGAAATTAATAAAAGTATGACAGTTTCCATAAGTGTGTTGGAAGACGAGAACAAAAGGCTAGAGAAAGAGTTGAAGGAATTACAAATGGAGTTTGACCGGATTTTAGCAGAACATATTTCATCAGAAAAATCACTGGTTGTAAATGATACAGAATCGAAAACTAAAAAAACTACAAAAGTAATCACTAAAAATACGCACAACAAACTAAACGTTAACTCTACCAAAAAACAAGCAAACATCACCAATATTCATGACGCAAACATCATTACTAATATGAATGATGCTTATCCCAGTGATTCTATCGAAGTTGGGTCAACTATAAACTGTAACTTAATCACTAGTTCTCAAAAAAAACATAAGATATTGTTTTTAACAGACCAGTATGGAAAATATTTGTTACCCTATCTTGAAAGTCACCTTTCTGATAAATTTGACGTACAGATTGTGACCAAACCTAATGCTTTATTCATTGATGTGATAGGGGGGCATGAAGAATCAATTTCTAAAATGTCAAGCTCGGACTATGTTATAGTAATGGCGGGGGTAAATAACAATAACGTGAAACTGAGTGATATCACCCTAATTGCCAATACTTGCTTCTACACCAACCTAATTTTTTGTACCATACCTGCAAATTGTACTGATGGTTTGCCATATTGTCATGTCGACTATGTAAATGGTAAGATAGTAAATGCCGTTTCAAACCTAAGAAAATTTGTTAGCAATATCAATTGTCTTGACCTATCCAACAGATTTCGATACTCTGACTACTCAAAGAATGGCATTTATCTCAATAATAAAGGTCTTACTAAATTGGCGTCGCTCGTGAAAAGTATAATCTGTGCCTTTGGTATGTTACCTTCGCAATCCTTCTTAAAGCCAATCAGTTTGGGCAATTATGATAACTATTCTAAAGATAACACCAGTCAGGTTGATGTCGGGTGCACAAATAAACTAATCCAACAAAATTTTTCCCAAGTTCTGGGACCTGCAAACCATCCGTAGTTAATGACAGTACTGATGCAGTTTCACTATTTTATCAAAACTGTCGTGGAGTGAAAACCAAACTTGATATCTTAAGGACTAATCTTTTGGATAGCTGTAATGACGTAGTTGCATTGACGGAAACTTGGCTAAACGATAAAATATTTACATCAGAATTTTGTCGAAAAAACTTGATATCATTTAGAAAAGACAGAAATAGTGTGATAACTTTGAAAAAACAGGGTGGAGGTGTATTTTTGGCTGTAAAAGTTAGGTTTAAGGTAGCAGAATTTAATATTTTTGATGAAGAACAAGAGGCGATTTGTATACAACTTAGTTTAGCCAATAATAGGTATTTATATTTAGTTTTAGTTTATATCGTACCTGACAGTCCACTAGACGTGTATGAAATTTTTTTTGAAAGATTGGAATTGGGTTTATTGGGCAGGGCAGATACGGATTTTATTATACTGGGTGATTTCAACGTACCAGGGTTTAACAATGACACCTCGACCAACAATATTGTAAATAATCTAAAGGCATTTCAAGCTTTCAACAATCTTTCTCAATTCAACAGCATACAAAACAACAATGGTGTACTACTGGATCTCGTTTTTGGATCATTTGATTGCTTGGTGGTAGAACAGGCTGAAGAACCGCTGGTAGCAATTGATAGTCACCATCCGTGTTTGGATATTAGACTGTCAATTAAGACTTCTCAAAGCTGTAGACTGGTCCCTACTACCAAATTCAATTTCAAGAAAGCCAATTATCTTCTTATGTATGAGCTGTTTCAGGAACAAGACTGGGATGATTTATGCGATTTCACAAATGCTAATCTGGCAATTGATGCTTTTTATAAAATAATACACAACATATTTGAGAAATGCGTACCAAAGTCTACACAAAAAAGTAAGAAGTATCCAACTTGGTTCAACAATGAAATAATAAAACTTTTAAAGCAAAAACACACATGCTTTTTGAAATCTCATAAATACAAGTCTCAGTTTTGGAAAACCAGATATAACGGTTTGAGAACCTTAATCAGGAATAAAATCAAAACAGCCCATGCTGAATACTTGGTGGATGTTGAATCAAGCTTGAAATCTAACCCAAAACTTTTCTGGTCATATCTTAAAAGCTTTAAGGAAAGTCCAGAGATTTCGGATGAAATGGCGTTTAAGAATGAAATATTCTCGGGAACATTCAACATTGTTAACGGCTTTGCAAAATATTTCAAATCTGTGTTTATCAGTAATGATAATATTGCCGATCACACCAATGCAAATAATGCTAAAACATACTTTTGTGATGCAGAAATATCTGTTTTAGACATAAAAAAGGCTTTCAAAAAACTTAAACCAGACAAGTCTATTAGCCATGATGGTATTCCTCCATTTATACTGAAAGGGTGCAGTGAATTTTTACTTGTTCCTTTAAAAATCTTGTTTAATCTTATGCTTAAAACCGCCACATTCCCAGAAAAATGGAAACTTAGTAAAGTGATACCTATACACAAAAGTGGTCCTAAACAAGATATTAAAAACTATAGACCCATAACAATAGTGTGTGCAATCTCAAAAATATTTGAAATTGTTATATTTGAATTGCTTTTCAATGAAGTATCACTTAAAATATCTCCCAATCAACATGGTTTCCTACCAAAAAGGTCCACATTTACAAATCTAACAATCTTTACGCAATATATACATGAAGCATTGAATAGGAAAACACAGGTAGATGTTATCTACACTGACTTAGAAAAAGCATTTGATAAAGTAAGTCACAATACTATTTTGGATGGTCTGGAGGCAATGGATGTTCCTCCATACCTGAATAATTTAATTCAATCTTACTTAGGAACAGACTCAAGTAAAAGGTATCAGTTTGTAGAATTAAAAGGTAGTCGGTCTACTCTTTTTGTTAGTTCTTCTGGTGTGCCCCAAGGGTCAAATCTTGGGCCCCTTCTTTTTGTTATTGCTTTCAATAAAATTCTTTGCAAAGTCAAAAATGTGGAATCATTGGCATTTGCCGACGATTTTAAATTATTTATTGAAATCACCTCGATTGAAGATTGCGAAATTCTTCAAAGAGAATTACAAGATTCAGCGAGTTATTGTCAGAAAAATAGCTTTAACTTAAATTTGAACAAATGCTCCTGTCTCAGTTTCAGTCGTAATAAAAACCCAATTGAATTTGACTATACAATAAATAATGAAAAACTAAAACGTGTTTCTGAACAAAAGGATTTGGGTGTAACTTTTGAAGATAATCTTTCATTTTCTTCTCATATTATTTCGAAGATTGAGAGTGCCCAGAGAGTTGCCGGGTTTATCTGTAGAAATACTAAACAGTTCAATATTGATGTCAGCATCCACCTATTTGATAGTCTGGTATTACCGATACTGGAGTATGGTAGTATAATTTGGTCCCCTCAGTATCACATTTGGATAAGTATTATCGAGGGAGTTCAAAGAAAATTTTTGAAGGCTATGCACTTTAGAAAGTACGGATTTTATCCACAAAGAGGTTGTGACAATGACTTCTTGCTAGGTTTATTTAATAGACTGTCTCTAAATCAAAGAAGAACTAAAATATTTCTCGCAACAATGTACAGAATACTAAAAGGTTATGTTGATTCTCCAGAAATAGTCGGTCAACTTCCTTTTGCCATAAATCGTGTCAACTCAAGAACAAAAAATGTTTTTTATTTAGCTTACCCACGGACGAATTTATATAAAAGCTCTCCAATATATAATTTGTGCAATATGTTCAATAAATATGCTTCAGATACTGATATTGATAGCACTACCTACAGACAGTTCAAACGAATAATTGACTTAAAATTACGCAATAGTTAGCATGTAAGTATCGTGTGTACTGTTCGTGTTTAATGTTGGTTTTACTTGCATTTATGTCGTTTACATTTTCACGTTGGATGTTGTAATAGTTATTAATTTGATGACATTTTACAAAACTTTTTATTGACATTTTACATACTTTTAGAATAAGCATAGGTATCTGTAATTGGCTTTTTGGCTGTAGATACTGTTTGAAATAAATAAATAAATAAATAAATAAATTTCTGTGCAAAATATATTTTGTGCTGAACATTTGCATCTTTGAGAACAATTATTTTTTTATCAGATTAATTATTCCTTCAGGTGAGCAGGGAAGACTACACCTAATTGGTTCTAATTCCAATCAGTGCCAAATTTCCAAACGTAATTTGTGAGAGGTGGTAAATTGGGGTGTGGAAGCTCCCGATTCCATTCAATGCACTGAGTGGCATCTATCTTAGTGTCATTTTCAAGGCTGCTCGAGTGGGCGGCATATTTCCGGTCGAAACTTGCCTCTTGCCTCTGCGAGAACAATCACCATCTCAATTCTGCTAGGCTTATCACACTTTTCTTGGACGGTGAATATGTTGAACAAGTAAACAACTCAATCTGCTCCATATCAGAGTCACGTAACGTTTCACTTTTGCCTAAAGATTCCAACGCCTGAAGCATGGATGGGGTTGCTTCCAAAAACTTCTTCCAATAAACGAATTTAACCTTTTCGTTTGAAACTTCCTATGATATCGGCACCCGAGAAACTTAGTTGAAGCTTCCAATTGCTAGGCATTATACTTTTTCTCCATTCGTTCAGAAGAATCTTTTTTTTTTAAATTCTTTTGTAACATTCAAGGTGCCATTTCACTTTCATGTCTTTTATTTTATCCGATGTTAACTGGTCTGCTGTTAAAGCAAGTATCGGGAAATCTTGCTCCTGTTTCGGATCCCATTTGTTGATTTACACCAGAGATTCAGCAAGGGTGTCATAGGCAATCTGCGCTGGAGCTTTCACGAATTTTTTAGAGCACACAACACACTTATCACTACTAAGGTTTTTTAACACTTAGTTTTTTAATAGCTTCAATTTTTAACTATTTTGACGTACTCTGAAAAACAAAAAATTATGTGCAGCGCTGTACACTTAGTATAACTGAAACTTCTATCGCTTTGTATTGAGTGTATACGTGTATTGTGTTTTAGATAAAGCTCGAACGAAATGGGCCTGAACGTAACGCGTCTTCCAAATTACTCTCCATTCTTGTCCAAATATCAGACCACCGCTTAACACATTCGCGGACAGTAGCTGCTATAGCAGTAAAATGTTGGATATCATGTGGGGCAGCTCTGCTATAGCAGTAAAAAAAAAACAAGTTCTAGAAAATCATTACTGCATAAGAAGTAATAGTTTCTATATGACTACACGTTCTTTTATGTTTACTGTCCCACAGCAAACCGTCAAAATGGGGGGCACTGTCCCCCATGAAGTGAAAAAAATAATACATTTGTAACACGTGGTTTTTTATGAGTGGGGAGTGCCTTCAGGGTCACGTACTGCTCTGGCCGCAGTTAGTCCATTACAAATTGCGGAGGCGTGCAGGTTACTGTCCCGTAAAAAGTGACTTCCACACGTGTACGAGTTTGTGAACAAGTGGCTGTTGTTTTGAAGTAATTTTCGACAAATCAATGTTATCTAAAAATGTTAGGTGCTGTTTGTGTGTACGATGTTTATTTCTTAGCATATATATGCATATAACTTTTGGCTATCTTCTTATTATAGGAGAAAGAAAATGGATTCGAAAGAGGAAAAAAGGCTGCTACGTTTATTTGATGAAGTCGAAAGTAAAGAATATCAATCTTCTGCAGCAGATTCTGATTTGGAAGATCCTTATGCAGATATAGATGGTGAATTTAGTGACGATCCCAACTATATACCGCCTCCAAACAATTCTTCAGAATCAGATGATATTTCAGAAGCCGAGGAAGATAATGATGGGCACAATGGTGATAGGAATAATGGTAATGGGAATAATGGTGATGGGAATAATAGTGATGGGAATAATAGTGATGGGAATTTGAATGATGGAGATTTGAATAATGTGGATTTGAATGATAATAACGATGATGTAGCTAATTCCGATGATGATGGTTGGGTTGACAATACAGCGGTTATATTGGACATGGGTTTTGATAATTCCACGTCAGGAATAAAGGTTCCAATTCCGGCAAGATCAGAGCCGATAGATGTGTTCAAATTACTTTGGCCCAAAGAAATTACAGATTTAATTTTGAAGCACTCAAATAATTATGGGAAAAAGCTTGCTTGTACAAGAAGGCCTCATCGCAAAAACGCTAGAGCAGCTTCCTTCACACCAATCCAAGAACAAGAGTTGGAAAAGTTTTTCGGTTTATCTCTTTTGAGGGCACAAATCTGATTTCCTACATTACGCCTTGCATTTTCGAGGGATGCCCTATATTTCCATCCTTTATTTTCATCCACAATGCCAGGCAGAAGATACGAACAAATATTGAGAAATCTATGTTGCAGTCCCGAGGAAAAGAGCGACGATAAGCTTTATAGAATTACCCCTCTGATGGATATGCTTTTGAAAAATTTTCAAAGTGCCTATAAACCAGAAGAAGCAATTTCACTTGACGAATCTTTATTGCTGTTCAGAGGCCGCGCTTCCGACAATATATCAAAGGCAAAAAAAGCCAAGTACGGAATTAAATTTTACGAATTGTGCTCTACTAACGGATATGTCTTCAATATAGAAATCTATAAAGGAAAACAAGATCCACCGGAAAATACATCAAAAGTTGATGCGCTTGTACTAAGATTAATGCAACCATATTTGAACAAAGGTCACCACCTTGTTATGGATAACTATTACAATAGTTTTACTCTATCAGATTTGCTCTTGAAGAAATATAAAACACATACAACTGGTACACTGAGATCTAATAGAAAGAAAAATCCCAAATGTGTTACATCCAAGAAACTCAAAAAGGGAGAATATGTCTGAAAAAGAAATGGTTCCATCTACATTTCCAAGTGGCGAGACAACCGCGACGTTCTAATGATAACAACTAAGTATCACCCACGACTAATCGAGTCCAGAAACAGATTTGGAAAGGTAACTTTTCATTCATTATGTCTTCACCAAAATAGTAGTAGTAGGAATAGTGCATTTGAAGATGCCTTCGCCTAGCAGCTAGGTCGCTCTCCTTAGACTAAGCAAATGTAATTTTTTTTGTTTCAGATCAGAACCAAACCTATCGAAATTTGTGAGTATAACCAGAATATAGCTAGAGTTGATCGTAGTGATCAACTCATCGCATACTACTCCTGCCCACGCAAAACGATCCGCTGGTATAAGAAAGTAATTTTTCATTTGTTGGACCTGGCTGTGCTAAACTCCTTCATTTTATACCGGAAGTCAATCAACAACAAAATCACCTTGCTTGAATTTCGGAACACTCTAATAAAATCCTTGATTGGACTGCCTCCAGAAATTATGGGTAAAGGACTGGTTGTTCCAAAAACCGTACACGATAACCGCCGTTTTCCGCATGCGACAAAAGCGCAAGCTGAAGCTCAACCAGGAACTGTGGAACAAGCAGCTCAAACACATTTTCTTGAAAAAATACCGACACCACCTGACTACAAGAGGAAAACCTATTGTATGGATTGTAGACAATGTACAATCGACAAGAAAAGAACTCAGACTTCTTGGCAATGCAAAGGTTGTGCGAATAAACCTCCACTGTGCCCAGGATGCTTCGAAAAATATCATATCTAAAAAAAACAATAAATTTATATTATTTTGTGAATAAAACACTGTTTCTTTAGCAAAAGGTGCCTATTTCTTATTAATAAAAGTAACTACGGGATACTACACTGCTATAGAATTAACTGCTATAGCAGTAGTGTGTCCTGTGATATCTCCAAATTTGATGTTCTGGGTAGCTACTGCTATAGCAGTAGCCTTTAAAAAATTGTGGGGACCTCTAGAAACATCATTCTAAGTTGTCATAAAAATTTCAGTAAAATCAGACAAGTAGTTCAAAAGTTATAGCAGTGATCTCCTGAGGACACCCACAAATTCTGGTACTGTCCGCGAATGTGTTAAAATAACACTTTTGCCTAAACAAAAATGGTAAATAATACGGATACTCGGAGGTGTGTTTCAGACGCCTGGACGGCCATAATTTCATAATATTATCACATTACAATATTAACATGTTGCTTGAGTATTGTTGTAACAGTTAATTCACTGATGCCTATGAAGCTGTGTTATGAAATCATCCCCCGATCAGGGGATGGTTTCGTAATATTTTTAAAGATCTCATCGACGTTACCTGAAACAAAAGTGGTGAATACTATGAAATCCAATTATAATTAAGGAAATATGTTTTTGCATAATATACGCAGTATTACCCTACTGCATAAGGGTGGTTTTCTGCCGCCATTGCGAGATACGCCCCATGAAAATTTGTTATCTACACATTTTCCTGAAAGTTTTAAGGTATCGCATGATATTGCTTCACTAAGTTGCACACGGGATATGATATTTGTACAATTCAAAACTGACTATTAGCAAGGGGTAAATGCCCAGAATATTTGGCGGGAAAATGAATGTTTTCATACTATCGTCCATAGCCGCATTCGTTCGGACCGGACCAGTTGATCAAAACGCGTTATGTTCACTGATCTCAAAAATAAATGGATAAACCAAGAACGCTTCTAATCTAATGCTGCTAATAGACTGTGAGATAGGAGCTGCTTAGTGGAGGTTTTGTTGTGAAAATAACACTGAAAAATCGCCAGACGGTAATCACAGTTCGAAATCGAGTTTTCCGGCGAAACATTCTGTGGACATTTTGAACAGGAGGCAGGCGTTAAAACCACTTATATTCTCATCAGCTAACTAACCACATTCAGCCCTCAAAATGCCAGACAAAAAAAAATGACTCCACTAAACGGGCCCTATCTCAGGGTCTATAATTTACGAGGTCAAAATCTAAACAAAAACAACTGACTGGGACACCTGTGAGCGTGCGCAGTAGATACATGTATTGTGCGTGCACAAAATCTGGCCAATGAAAATGAAGGAATTTCAAAATTTAGAACAGCTGTTCGAAAGATAAGACACTGCGCAGACGTTAGGCTGTTCCGTTGCACAATTGTTCGTAGAATACTGACCCCAAATTTTCGCACAAATTTTGCCAATAGACCTATCTATTTTAACAGACAAAGAGGTAACAATACGAAAACTTTATTAGATAAAAAAAGACGCAGAACGCTTATTGCGCAAGACGAGGCAAAACGTACCAAATTATGTTAGACTTACGTATAGCAATCCGTTCTTATTATTTGCACGGGATAAAAAAGGAAGGAGGAAAACCGCGTGACGTGCAACCTATTTGTCAATCAAAAACACAAACAATTGCAAATCGATCACTTGTCAAGCTACGTCAAGTTGAATATCAAGCATAATTTTATCCTTGTCAGACCACGGGTAATGAACAAGGACAAGGAGATGCCCAGCGTGCAAAACGAACACCTCACACCTGTACTAATTAGCCAATAAAAATGCATTGCCTCGTGTTGCGCGCGCATACAGGTAAAAATAGATAGGTCTATTAAGCCGTATGAATTGTTTATCCATTTATTTTTTAGATCAGTGGTTATGTTCCAGTAATCACGTTCTTTCGCATTTTGACAATTGACAGTTAGCGAATCATGGGCTACGTTCACCAGAACCAAAACGGATTGTAAACAGTTCACAAATACCAACAGAATATGTTGGGTAAACTCTTGGTTTTGCTGAACGATTCAACTTTTCAATGGTAAAACTTCACTTTCTGAATGACAGGTCACCACACAAAACACAGTGTTGAAAATTATAAACACTCTGGAATAGACCTATCTATTTTTACCTGTTATGCGCGCGCAACACGAGGCGCGACGCTATAATAACAGAAACAATAAAAAGGGCGGCAAGATATTCAAAAACGTTTCAACCTGTGCATCCACAATTAACACGTCCCAGATGACTGGAACAACTCAGTTTACTTCCGTGAGGCCTTCGATACGTTGAAGTTATCAGCAATTCCAACAGTTTCACAAGAATATAGGATCGATCATAGATACTACAATATTGTCGAAGATACCTACTACTATCTACATCAACGGCGGCTACACTCTAGTCCGCCATCAACAAAATCAACCGAGAAGTCGGGCAGAGTGATAAGTACGCTCCGAATTTATTCATCACTATCCTTGAACGAGCTTTCAAACAGCTAAACTGCGACAAAGGTATTGCAGACGACGGAGTGTGTGACGATGGTGTGTTTACCTAATTACCTGCTCAAGAGTCTACTTTGGCACATCGACTAACTCTTCATGCGAATATTAGATAGAATTTTGCCAAACAAGGGATCTGGCAGGATTTAGAGGCGGCATTGGAATCATTGATCACTTGCTAACAATTGAACTAGGCACTTATTGGAAAGCGTATGGAGTATAACAACTTTTCATTAACCTTCTGGAATGATTGGATTCGGTGGACTTGGGCCTAAAATTGAAGGTAAATTGATTAATCGCCTTAAATTCGCTGATTTCGCTGGGGACATTGTCCTTATTGACTAACAGAGGAAGATAATAGTATGAATATAGCTGAGTAGCAGAATTATTACGCGCTTAACAAGTGTCTATATTGGTTAGCAGGGGGTAGCGACCAACTTAAAAACCGTGTTCACAAGATTGATGAAAATCAATAACGTGCTATGGGTATAGATAGGGATATATGATCTTTGGAGTCCATATAGAATGATGAGCAAATGTTGCTACATAAGACAGTTTCATTCAAGAAAATCAACAAAGACATAAATATCATCAGTCAGTGCTTCTAGAGAGATTGAGGAAGGGACATGGGAGAAAGACGTTGGTCCACTGTCAAGGATGATGGAAACAAGTTCATCATTTCTCCTTGCCAACAGTCAGACTTGGTAATCCAAAATGGGTTTCTTCTAACATAAGAACATCGATATAAGTATACATGGACCAAACCATAGAATGTCAGAACCAAACGTAAAACAATATGTGGAAGTGGCCACTATACTATTTTCTAAAGGTTATAAACCTCTTTCCTTATCGGGGACAAAAACACATCAAAAGAGAAGAGATTGACCCAGGCAAGATACGCAATAGAAGCAAAGTACATACACCAGTATAAATACTGACCGTAATGCGATGCATTTTTGATGGATCATGGATCTCACGTTGAACATTTTAAAGAATTGCATCTAAAAAAAAACAATATACCTACTTCGTGTAGATATCTAATTGTAACAATAAAAAAATCAAGCTTGTTGATCATGCACAAAATCAAAATGTGTGTTAGATAAATTATAAAAATCTTACTTTTAATACTAAATCCAGGCGTAGTCACATTCCATCCTCCAAGTTTCGCTATAAGATCAATCATAGGTTTGGCACCAAGAGTTTCGACAGTATTGTTCGTATCCAAACAAGACTCATAATACATTTTAGCTTTTTCCTCCGCTTTCGACTTGAAACTAGCAATCGGTTGTTCCAAAACGTGTTTGATAATCAAATAGTTTTCCTGCTCCAGTTTCATAAACGTCCCCCAATTGCTTTTGCCTTCCGGCACTGGATTGGCGTTCACCCAACCTTTACACGAATATGAGTAGAAGTCTTCGCACGGGTCCACGGAAAAATCCATCGATTCCAAAATATTGCTGGCTATGTGGACGCAGGATTTATTGAGGCATGGCAGTTGCGATTCGAATTTGGCTTCTTTTTGCTACAAATAATTAACTAGGTAATTTATTTAATTTTTAAAAAAATGATTAATTCCTAATTCCTATGAGATTTTTCGATTTTGATAGGTTTCCATATGAAGGAGAGTGTGAAAGTTGAGGCTTACCTTCATAGGCTTCATATAGGAATATAGTTAATTCATTTAATTTTATCATCAATTAATATCATCGAGAAATATGTAAGTACTATATTCAAAGTCAGTTCGTAAGAAAATTAATTCAGATCTAATACAAACTTAAGGATAACAAGAGTAACTCAACCTAATCCAAACATTTTAGGCTCCAGAATATTGTTAAAAATAGATGAAATTTAAAAAATTATCAAGTTCTACTCCTTTCTTACTTAAACAACCAGATTTTCTTTGGTGCTATAAGATAGTCAGGTAGGTAGGTACGTCTGAAGTTACCAACAAATTTCAAGACTTTGTAGCATGGATGTATATTATATGGATTTCACGACTACAATGACCTCCAGATTATAACCTGTATTTTAAAATAAATTAGAGTTTTTTTAAAAAGTGATTTCAAGAGTTTCTGAGATAACAATTTGGCGCAGTCGGTAGGATCTGTCAACGTTGTCAGAACAAGAATATTCTAACTGATAGCGGCGGATTCTAATTCTTTAAACAGAAAAAGAACGGAAGTGAATACGATGAGAACACGACGATTCCATGGAGCCTATTCTTTTGATGTAAGTACTTAAAGAATTGTCTCGTTTATTTTTTTGTTTGTTTTTTATGATACTGTTCGATTTTTCAAACATTCCCTATTATTTTTTTTTTTTTTGCATTTACCATATTTTGTCTATTTTGAAAAGTTTGCCAATCAATTTTCATAAATCGTTTCCATTAACCGTATTTTGAAAAGTTTGTCAACCAATTACTTTCAAAATACTTTTTTTGTTTTTGAATATTTTTATTTAAATCAACAAAATGCCTAATGAAAACGATGAAATCTCTGTGGAAGTAGAGCCATACAAACTTTCTGAAATATTTTCGAAAATTATTTCTGAATTTGAAGGAGATCTAAACTTCTTAGAAAACTTTATTAATGCATGCGATTGTGCTTACAATATAGCAACCTCGCAGCGGAAAGTTTTACTTGTTATTCACATTAAAAATAAGCTAAGGAGTAGAGCAGGTGACCTGGGTCCTTATTCTTGAAACAGGGGAGCTGCGTTCCCAGGAGAACGAGTGTTCCGTCTTTGTCACTTATATTCTGATTTGCATATCATTAAGAAAGACGGAACACTTGTTCTCCTGGGAACGTTGCTCCCCTGTTTCAAGAATAAGGACCCTGATAAGTTCCCGAAACCCCAGTCCCTTTTTAGAGATCAAACAACTTCTGAATTTACACTTTGGAGATTCTAGAGACCTCTTAGCTCTTATCCATGACCTCCAACAACTCAAGCAACTATCTGGCGAGTCCCCTCTACTTGCTACAACAGACTCCAAGTACTGAATGCGAAAATGCATTCTTCTATTCAAAAGTCACCACACCTTAAAACAGTAGATCAAAAAGAAGCACAGTCCTCCCTTGTGGAATCTATGGCCCTAAACACTCTTCTTACAGGCCTAGAACCTCGCCTTGGCCAGATTATCAGAGCTGGAAGCCCACACACTCTTTTAGATGCTCAATGAAAAATCAGGAGAGGAATCCAACTTTCCTATTTTGAGAATCAGAAGACTCCAAAACCTCCTGTTCAAAAAGTTTTGATCAACAAACCACAATCATCCATAAAATGCTTTTCTTGCGGAAAAATTGACCACACAGCCAATCAATGCAGACAACAAGCTTCCAGTCATTCAAACTTCACTCAATACCTAAATCAAAATTTCAAAAAAGGTTCCGCAAAATGCATCTACTTCGAAACAATTCGTACCAAGATACCCCAACCAGCAAAAAACTTATCTTTTAAATGATTCCTCTAATGAAACATCTATGCCAACGAATTTGAGTACGCTGAAAGCCCTCATTATGAACAAGATGCCAGTTATGAAGAAAACGAATATACTGAACAGTTCACTACTGATCCGAACGCTGAAAATTATTATCAGGATTTTCTGGTACCTTTTACCAATCACCATCCGCCAGAGAATACCCCTCAAGATCACACTTCGAATATCGAGACTCAAATACAACTTCTGAATCTAGACAACATGAATCCGAACCTCAATTTTCCGGAACAAGCATTTCTTTAAACCCACTTCTCACTATTAATTCGAAAAATTTGTACTGCATTTATGCTGCTTCCAATAAATTCAGATTATTTATTGATACAGGTGCAGGCATTTCAATTCTCAAAGAAAATACTGTCCATAAATTCCCCTATCGTTCCGAAGAAAACGTAACCATTCAAGGTCTCACCGATCAAAAACTCCAGATCCGTGAATCAACACTTGTACCGTTCACCCTCCAAGATCCTCACAAAGTGTCTATTTACAACTTGAATATTGATTTCGATGGAATTTTAGGGTTAGATTTCCTAAAACATTATCAATGTGTGATAGATTTGAAAGCTAAAGAACTTGTAACTAATTTCAAAACTATTCCTCTTCATAAAATTAATGAAGATTATTACCCTAATAATACAAAACCAAACAACACTCAAACAATTCTCAACAAAATATCTATAGAAGCTAGAAGCGAAAAGATCTTTAAACTCAACACAGATGCTTTACTCTTTTCTCAAGAAAAAGAAAACGTCAAATTACCTAATGCTTTAGTAAAAAAGTTAATGAACAAGGTGAATTTTTAACCTCAATTGTAAATATTAACGCTATAGAAACAACCGTGGAGTTTTCGAACTTGTCTATCGAACCATTTGTCTCAGAAAGTCAAACTTAAAAAACCATTCTAAGTTTTAACAACTCTAACCTCGACTATGACGATACTTATGATAGGCACATGTCTATACAAAATGAACTTCGTACAGAACATTTAAACGACGAAGAAAAAGAACTAATTACCAACTTATGCTTGAACTTTTCCGACATTTTCTACCTGGAAGGTGACACGCTCACATTTACTAGTGAGATTAAACACCCTACTGACACCAATAATGCAAAGCCTGTGTATACCAAAACTTACAGGTACCCCCAAATCCACAAAAAAGAAGTCAAATCCCAAGTTACCAACATGGTAGACCAAGGCATTCTGTATCTCCATAATCTTTTCCCATCTGGGTCGTTCCTAAGAAACTTGATGCTTCTGGCAAACCCAAATGACGCGTCGTAATCGACTACCGTAAAGTCAATTGAACTTACTGTAGACGACAAATACCCGCTGCCTAATATTTCCGATCTTCTGGATCAATTGGGGAAATGTCAATATTTTACCACCTTTGACCTAGCCTCAGGTTTTCACCAAATAGAAGTAGACCCCGAGGATGTTTCGAAAACTGCTTTTTCCGTAGAAAATGGCCATTGCAAATTCGTACGTATGCCCTTTGGATTGAAAAATGCTCCGTCCACATTCCAAAGACTGTATATTCATTGCTATATAACATATTAGTGTGTATATAGGTACATCTGTCCGGATCTTTTGATATTTTTCCACAACTTTTACAGTTTTGTCCAGAAAATAATTAATTTTTTTTAATAATGTTCTGGCCCTTGCATAAACTACTTTGATATCCTTAAACTTTTTTAGTTTTTCTTCTCTTTTGGTCAATGATTATAGCCTATACGTTCTAGTCTAGCGATTAGTTGAAATATTTATTAATTTCGCATAGATATTCATGCCAAAATAAATATTTATCGATACCAGATGCTCTATATGAAGTGGTTTATTTATAGTTTGATCAAAATTAATTACTTTTCTGTGTTTACGGAGTAATTCGGCGTGTAATGGAAAAAAATGGAACAGATGGTATCAACTGACGAAAACTGTTCCGTAACCAAAAACCTCTTCCATACCTACAGCAACTTTAAATGAGGCTGAAAGAGATTCTAATTGGTTGAACGCAACGCATAAGGCACCAATCAAATTCGCTAATTAGGTTTATTCATATTATGTTATGAAAGTGTCACAGTTTTGAACTTAATTAAACTATCAAATATTGTTACCTTGGCTATTTGTAAATGATATTCAACTACATTGACTACAATTGAAAGTACTATGACGACCATAAATAGAAAAGCTGCTAAAAATAATAGGATACGTTCTAGGGTGGATCTCACTTCCCATAGTTTGGCACCTGGATGGTATCTTATGTGTGTGGCACTTGTACTGATTCCTAAAGCAGAAAATTCAGGTATTATATTTTTCTTTCGAGAACTCGATTTTTTAATTTGCAAAATACTGTGAAAACATCGGAAAATTAACATTGTAACATTGATACGTATGCTTTTAATCAACTTTTTCCTTTGCCAGAATTTTATCTCGAATTCTTACCTTCTGTTAATTGAACACTATTTACACTATCGTCGTCTCCAAAATCCGCATTTGTATATCTGGTCATCTGAAACAAATTGTACTGTTAAAAAATCATCCATTTTATTCCATTTGAAAAAAGAAGTGGGTCTTAGAAAAATAACCTATTAACCAAAAATAAATTACTTTGACATAAATATTTACGGTGTCTTTTAAATAAACTTGGAATGAGTGAAAAAAATTCGGAATTGAGGATTTTCGTAAATTCTTTGTTTGGAGATCAAAAGCGATAAAATAAAAGTAGGGCCTATTACCAAAATGTGCCAGTTGCTGGACAACATAATAACAGGATTAGGAAAGAAAATTTGAACCCAAAACTAAATCAAAGTACCTACATCCTTCCATTTTCAAAGTAGGTAGGTACCCACCAATGACATCTTAACACAGATAGACACCGCATCTCAGTCATAAACTGGTTTGGTTTGTTGTGATGACAAGATGCATAGGGTGGTGAGCTGCTCAAGGGGGTGGGGGTCATTCACCCAAAATAATGAAGAAATGCGCACGGGTGACGGGTACAACTCGTTTATCTATCTATCTACCTCTAACTCATATAATATACATTTGATGGGCGCATTGACATGCCAATCGATTCCAGCGCGTGTTCTGCTTGTTTCACAAAACCGGTGTTGCCACCTAGACAGCATACATAAGGTCTGTTTTCACAGAAATCACAAACCAGTCAGACCTAATTTCATTGGTTGAAAAAAGTCAGGAAACTGTTTGTTGGCGATTTGGACCAATCAAAAACGCTCTGACTGGTTTGTGATTTCTGTGGAAACAGACCTAAAGTCTTAAAGATGTTATTTTTAAGTCTTCATTACTCTGCATTGCGACTGAACGTCTGAAGACAAAAAAAGACGTCCATAAGATGTTTTAAATTCACATCTTAAAGACAACTGAGCCACTCTATTTGGTACAACCGGGCCGAAAAGTGAATAACGGTTTATGTTTTCACAGAAATCACAAACCAGTCAGAGCGAATTTCATTGGTTGAAAATAGTCAGGAAACTGGTTGTTGGCGATTTGGACCAATCAAAAATGCTCTGACTGCTGGTTTGTGATTTCTGTGGAAACAGACCTCAAGAGCAAATTTAAATTGCTGTAAAACTTCAAGCCTCTAATAAGCATCCATAACAGTTCAGATCAAAATCAGAATTTTTAGGAGCATTTTGGAACAATTCAGGAGCTTAGAACACTTAAGATTCAATTTAGAACTGGAAACCTCTTTTAGCTTTCGAGCTAAACACTTTGGTGCTTCAATATAGGGCTCTAACTTAAAAATCTGTCTTAACGCTTCAGAAATTACTGAAAAACTTCTAAAATGCTGCAGAACTTTTCAAGCCAAGTTAGAACACTTTAGAACTTTTCAAAGATCCTAGCGCCTGGAATAGAAAAAAAAATTATTTGCAACCATATATGTAATCTTCACATTACTGACTTTTTAAAAATTTGGAAGTGACACTTTACCTATGTCACTTCCCTCTTCGATTTCCCCAGATTTTCCTCACCGATTTCCCTATTTGACTTCCCTCACCGATTTCCCTCACTCTAATTTATTTACCTTTGCTGGCAACAATGAGAACATGTCAGGTAAAAACGTCAAAACAGTGAATGACACATTTTGGCATGTTTGTTTTATTTTTTTAATATTAAAAAAATTTAATGACTAGGTAATCATAATTAATGGTGTGCTTGCAAATAAAATAGCATACAAACCTAATGAAACACTTCCCTACTCGGTATGTAATATACTATTACTGTTATAAAATGGATAGGTAATAATAAGGAGATATAAAAAACACGATGTGTCCCTTTTAATTCAAATTCTTGAGTTTTTATAATTATTTTTCCTATTCCACACTCTCGATTTTTCCGATTTTTCCTTATTTCTTCAATCTAAATTCTCAACTTTCTTTTGAATCTTGAATTTTTTCATTCCAAGTTCTTGAATTCTCATTAACACATTATTTTCGTATTTTAGAACAGTTAAATTTTAAACTCCGGTTAAATTCAAAGTTGGTGTCAAATGATAGTTTATGAAAATCTAAGATAGGAATGTTAAATCGGTTTTCCTCTTAAATTAACCGTTTAGGTTTTACAGCCTGTCAAATTTGCAAAAAGTCAATTTTCAACTGTCAATATTTTCAAAACAGTTGAACTTAGGTATAGAGTATATTACATGAAATCTGCTCAGAATTTTACGTAGAATCCAAATATGTGATCACATATAGAGTGTTCCATTTAAAATAACAAAGTTCTATCGCATACCCTATAAACGGAGCACCCTGTATATTCAAAAATATTTTTAGCTGATGCATATTAGAGTATCAAACAACTTTGTAATTTAATTTTTTTTTCTTGCATCACTGTAAGGAGATATCGTCCGATATCGCACTAAGTGGACACCCTGTATATAGAGAAAAATAAATTTAAAAAATATAGGCCTTGGAAAAATCCTTGCGGGGGGCGCCGGATTTGAAGTTACGCCAGTGCATCTAATTCACCTGCAAGCTAATGCACAGGCTACGTAAATCACCCTGTATAGTCAATAATATAAACTACAAACATTGTAACTCAGCCCCCTGGGGGGGCCTGAAGCAACATTGAGGGGGGCGTAAGTCTTCTAAAAAATTAATACAAATTTTAAGCTTCAAAATAAAAAAATCAGTTAAAAAAAAAGATGTCTACTATCCGGCAACAGCGCATACCTAAGCCAAAGCAACTTTTCCATGCGATCATTGCCACAGCGCACTCACGCGCCCCCTGCACTGTCATGCCCATTCCTCCTCTTCCAAAGTCCAGTTCAGACGAGTTATAGTAAGTAAAAAAGATGTTTTTGTATAATGGGGGAAGGAAGGGGGGCGCAACCACTTCTTGATTTCAAAAAGGGGGCGCAAAAGATAAGAGTTTGGGAACCACTGTTGTAACTTGATAAATTCTATAGATTTTAAGGTAATTAAATTAACTTAAGGTTTCTTAGCCTAGATATTTTTGAAACTAGTCAGTATAAACTATCTCCTCTAAATGAAATGATGGAACAGTGCAATATCGTAAACAGGGAAAACTCATTTGATGTATTTAACACTTGCCTCTTTCAGTTAATAGGTTTACTATTTTAATCTGTAATTGTGTAATGTTTTCTTGTTAAAATTAATTTTTTTTAATCTATTTATTTAAGTGTCTTTTGTGTTGTTTTAAACTTCAACAAAACACAGTTGGACCCGGTTAGGACGGATGTAACATATAAGGAAAAAAAACATAGGAAACGAAACTAACTCTAACTATCTTTCAAATAAGGACTTTACATAATTTTAAATAATTAATAAATATATTTTCCAAGCTACCCTTGTGGTTCATAAGTATTAGATGGAGTTTTTCCAATTCTCTTCTTAAGAACGAATTTGCCAATTAATTTATTGTGTCTACAACTAAATAATCTATGACTCAAGTCATCTCCAGATTGGTTATTACAAAAGCATTGCGTGTTCTCGCATAACTTAAGCTTATACATATGAGGGGTGTAGTTGCAGAACTCACATTATCCACTTTTGACCAAAAATTAGTTAATAATGGTATACTGGACTGTGAAGAAATCTTAATTCTAGAACATAGGGCCGGTTTCTCAATAGCGAGTCACCTCCGGGTTGGTTTTAACTCCAAGGTAAGCGTGTCCAGTTGCTATGTTCACCCTGGAGTTATGCTTGACCCGGGGGTGACCTGTTATTGAGAAATTGGCCCATAGTTATATAAAATTCCGGCAAAAGTGACAATATCCCATAAAAATTAAATCCTAAAAGTCGTGATTCGCAGCAAAACTCACAATATCCGAAACGCGTTTATGTGTAATTCTTGAAGTATCATAAATCACATTCTCCCTGAATAGGAGAGTACTTAAACCTTTTAAACGAAGATTTAGCTGCAAAACTCACATTATCCGATTTAACGGATATCGTATTATCGATTATGTTTGCTGCAAGACTCACATTTTTCAAAAACATTCAGCAAAACTCACATTTTCCAAACAAAACCTCGAAAAATTTTCGAAAATGTTCAAAATATCGCATTTTGGTTTATACCATCGAAAAGCTAATTTTTTCCCGATTTTTGATATATTATGAGTTTCAAGAAAAAATTTAAGGTTTTTAAGCGACAAGTTGATGTTGATGAAATGTTTATTCACCATTGCAAAACTAAATAGAGAATCTGAAAATAATGAAAATTTTAATGTGACACTCGAAAATCTGATCCAAGAGGACCATTTTAAACAATTTTATTAAAGTGACATTATCTCGAAAACCATCGATTTTTTACTAAGGTCATATTATGTTTTTCTGGATGCTAATGAGTTGTTCCATCAGCCCTTTCAGTATTATCGTTGACTTTCCGAACACCCTGTATACAGGGAGTTTCCAAAAAGGTGTAACAAACTTCAAGAGCAGATAGTATTCATGAAAATAATTAAAAAAGTTCCTATGGATATAGGTCCGGAAACGCTTTGTCTCAAAGATACAGGGTGCTAAGTTTTTCAAAAAAATTTAGGTTCTTATTAATAGCCCAAAAAAGCTATGGCCGATTTCAATGAAATTTTCATGGTTTATGTAAACTACTATCAGACATCTATACTGGAACAATTAGTTTTGTTCCAGAATTTCCAGGCGCGTTCCCAGCGACCAAGTCGGTTGCTTTTTTGCAGAAAAAAATATCACCCTGTAGTTTTTGTACGATTTTCATCAATTATTCAGATAAACCCACTAAAAATACAACATTATTGTCTTTTGGCTTTTCCAAGTATCTCGCTTCGTTTTTGCGGAAAAATTACAATACCATACCTCCGTCTCTGAAGTCCATTAGAAAAAATAAAAATGCTTAGGAAAGATAAAAATCATAGGAATTAAGGTACCATCGTCACCAAAAGTATCTGGGACACAAATAATGCATAATTATCTCCTGGTCTAATTCTACTGTCATTCATTTCAATGTATTTACTTCATAGTTTGACAAATATTTGACAATAAAAGTCATGTA